CGTCGAATCATGAGATATTGGTTGAGATAGATGAAATAAACAGTATGAAAATTTAGATCTATATCCAACCATATAATGTTTTGTAAACATTATCGTGTTTAGGCATTTAGATGTAATTTACGTGGCCTTCTGATTAGAAGGCTCAGACTGTAAATCCGAGGGTTCAAGGCTAACGTCCTGATGCTGAAAAAACGTGATCAGCACATTGGGATCGTATAAGAGTTACAATGAGATCCCGCTATTCAGTCAGACAAGACAAGCAAAATAATTTATAGTGGGTGGTAGTGTTGACTACCCGCCTTTCCGCTAGTCTACCACTGCAAAAGTGGGGAATACTTTGCGCAGATAGTTCTATGGTAGCTTAGCGTGAAATTTTAAAACAAACACTGTAATTCTGTCTATCTTTTAATGGTATTGAAAACCTTTGAAAGTTAGAAAATACGAATACACAGTCAGTAATTAATGCTCTAAAACCAAGAAGTTCATAAAATAATTTATAATTACAGCCCTCTGAAAAGCCCATTATAAATTTATTTTACCAACTGTTCCACCTGCTAGCCACGACCTTCAAAGAAGCCCTTAGTTTCATGGTGCTGTATAGTGTGACAGAAAATAAAGGTGGTCTGATCAAAACAGCAACCTCATTTTTCCTCTCATGTTGTAATTTTTATCCCTCTTCATATTTTCTAATATTTATCAACATAGTTCTACTTGATCGCTATACGTGTTACGTCAGTTTAGATGTTAAACTTTACATTATGTTAAACTCAATTAGGAGTTAAATATTTTTTAACATGTTCTATGAAATCTCATGGAATGTCATTGGTTCATAATTTTTCTGTTCTTATAACATGTTTGTCATTTTCATGGATTAAAGACAGTACAAACAATTTTATTCATATAAGAAGTGCTGGTGATGCACTTGTAGTCTAGTGTGAGTAACCAGAAAGAACACACTCCACTTATTGCCGCATGAGTTCAAATTTCCCTTCTGAACACTTAAGTTACTCAAGTTATTACAACACTTCAAAATAGACAGAACCCTAAGCTCACTCTTTCTGCTCGGTAAATATAAACAGGTTTCTGTTGCATAAATTGTAAGTCAGTGTTCTTAAATTGCTAATTTTTGTGCTAACCAACTCTAACACATGCACGTGTGAAGGGTTAATTGTACTTTATAAGCACGTTTTGCATATTATGCTAATATGGTAGCATGACGCCGCAGGTGGCGCCACGGATGGCATATACAAAACCTATACATATTTGGTTCACAGCGAAATCCCGGCCACTCGAGATGCACTGCAATTTCAGATAAACTTAACGCTAGAAGGATATAAAAAGTATTTTTGATACCTATCGTACAGACAAATTGGGTGACATTTTGTACTAGGGGGTAGGATCATCAAAAATAAATCTTGGAATTTGACTGCGAAAATAGTACTAAACGAAAGTAGTAATCATAAGGCTTCCACAGCTCTTTTTTTTTTTCAGTAAAATATTAAATGTAGGTAAATATTTCGATCTACCTACTTGGAGTAGCAGTGTTCCACTGAAGCTAAAAATAGGTTAAGTTGTTGTCTTTTTGTCCAATAATATTGCACACATAAAAAAAAGGGGGAAACCGAAAGTAATCCCACTATTCTTTGGTAA